CCCCCCCCCCCCCCCCCCCCCCATTGCATTTAAATGCATTTGGGTCAGCGGCTCCGCCTCCAAACTGTGAAAGTGTGTCTCTCTCAGCGCTCGGCTGTCTCTCACTTCGGTTTCTGCATGTAATTGTTCTATTTAATCTGGCTCACCTATATAAATACATTATCTTCTACATTCATATCGGACAGAAGCAGGGCCCTGTTGAGTAACTCTGGCCAGCTACATAGTGAGATGCTTAGATGGGTATGCTCTCGTGATGAGTCACAACGAAACGGGGTCAGTGCCATTGTCATATCGATGTTCCCATGAGCATCGCAGTCTGACCCTGCTTAGTTCTCTGTGGCGTTTCTTCCAGTCTCTCTCTACCCCCCCCCAGAGGAGTGACAAAGTGTTAGTGATTCAATGACAAGGTCACGGACCTTGGTCGTGGCATCAACAAGCTCTTTGTCTGCCCCTGTGGCCACTGACCATTGTCGTGGCAACAATGTAGGAGAGAGTGACCAACGACGAGAGGCTCCAGCTCGTTCCGGTGTCTTCGCAGAGGTTTGATCTGACCCTCGAGCACACAAAAAGAGACACACAAACACGAGATCTCCACAGTGGGAAGTGGATGGGCACCAGGTAGAGAGTCTTTTTCTTTATAATAAAAGATCCCTGCAGACCTTCACCTGAAGTGTGAGTTCTATTAAACAGAAACGTACGTTGCGATCAAAGATAATGGCGCTGTGAAAATGCCTTCTCATAGCTCTGCGGCAAAGTGAAAGAAACTGTATACTTCATCAGCACTTTACCTTGACAATGCTTTGCTTTGATGTCTTTCTCCCTGACTTATGAATTCATTTAGCAGAACTGCTGTTTGAGAGAAATGTGTCACAGAAAAAAAAAAAAAAAGAACACGAGGAGGAAATGAAAAGTGGGGAAGGAGGGGAGAAACTGCACAGGGGAATAATTCGGCTAATGGAGTGACTGTTTGGATATTCAGCAGAAGTAGGAACAGAGATTATGATCTCGCAATTAGCGTAACAAGGTTTTATTGATTGGCTGCCGCTGTAGCGTCTTTGCTGCCAAGACGCCGCATGTGGTTTTAACATGCACAGTGTGTGTGTAGCCCAGCCAGTCACACTAGTCCTACCACTATACGAGAGCAGAAGCCAGCTCTGTGTTACCATCGAGCTGTGGCCATTTACTGAGCATCAAAGCTGAAATATTATGGATTGCCGAGTTGAAAGGGTCTGTTTGAATGCCTGATGATAAAGTGGTCGGCATTTGCATTTTCCACTCACTTTTAAGTTAATGCATTACCCCCCCCC